GTTTGTCAGTAATGATTTTTTTTTAAAAAAATAAATACGATTTAAAAGGTCATTCTAATTATAAACACCGGGAACTCACAGAAAAAAACAGGGCATTAATTAATTTTATTTGTTGATCCTTCCTTGCAATCCTTGGGGTTATCTTAGACATGAGGACAACAGAACTCACTCATTTTATTTTGTCGAGCTGTCCTTGCCCTTGTCCCTGCTGTCCTTGCTGTCATCTAGACATTAGGACAGCAAAACTCAATCATTTTTTGTTGTCCTAGCATCCATTTTACCACCGATTTTATATCCAAGCCAAGCTTAAGGAGCTGGCGGACTCTAGACATACGCTCCATGATTTATGGCTATTGATTAGTGTAATGTATAGAGATTTATCATCAGGTAAATCTAATGTCATATGCTCGAGAAAGTTCGAGTATTTTTTTAAAAGCGGTGATAACAAACATCTAAAAATGTTGACTCGATTACATTTTTTTAACCTTGCATCATAATTAATGACGTCAAGCATTTTCAGGCGATTTCACGCTTCGGTGACCACAAGTCGCCACACAAAATAATTCTTTCTGATAATGACATCAAAGTACACGCGCTCTTAGAAAATTTCCGCTCAAAGATTTGACTCGTCTGTTTAAAGATTTGACTCGTCTGCTTAAAGATTTGACTCGTCTGCTTAAAGATTTGATACAGATTTGACTCGTCTGCTTAAAGATTTGATACAGATTTGACTCGTCTGCTTAAAGATTTGATACAGATTTGACTCGTCTGCTTAAAGATTTGATACAGATTTGACTCGTCTGCTTAAAGATTTGATACAGATTTGACTCGTCTGCTTAAATATTTGATACAGATTTGACTCGTCTGCTTAGAGATTTGATACAGATTTGACTCGTCTGCTTAAAGATTTGATACAGATTTGACTCGTCTGCTTAAATATTTGACTCGTCTGCTTAAAGATTTGATACAGATTTGACTCGTCTGCTTAAAGATTTGACTCGTCTGCTTAAAGATTTGATAAAGATTTGACTCGTCTGCACAAAGATTTGACATGTCCCTCAAAGATTTGAGACGTCTGCACAAAGATTTGAGATGTCTGCACAAATATTTGACCCGTATACTCAAAGATTTGACTTGTCTGGTCTTAGATTTGACACGTCTGCTTAAAGATTTGACTCGTCTGCTCATATATTTGACATGTCCCTCAAAGATTTGACATTAAATGAGTTGCTTGAGATAAAATAAATACGAAATATGGATAACATTTGTTATACATTAAAATGAATAAATCTCAGCTGTTCTTAAAATAATTGGCAGTATTAATTGCATTCAGAAAATGAATGCCCCCACCCACTCACCCACCACACGCCCGAGAAGACGCTGGGCAGCTCTGAGTTCTGTTTGTAAATACAGTTCCTCCTCCAGTTTCGTTCAATCAACGTCAAGAATAGAGTGTTAAAGTACTTTTTAAAGTGTAAACACAGTAAAACAGTTACTGTTTATGTTTTTTTCTTTGCTGTTCATTATTTAAGTACTGAACCTTATTTTTGTTCTCCTAACCCTTGGTGATTTTAGTGGAGTCTGTATTTCCGTTTGGATACCCTTACCATCTAATGTTAGATTAAGCCCCACTTGCCTGTCTTCTCCTTGCTCTGACGTTGTGTTTGTCTGGCTTCATGTGAGGAATCTACAGGAGTTACCAAGTACAAACCCGATAGAATAGATGTTTTTTTAGAACAGTTGTTGGATAATCTGTGAACCCAAGACGTCGACGGGGATTATCTGTGATAAAAAATAGCACTATATTTCAGCATTATAAAGAGAAGGCGATTTTAATCTTTGGATCGAGTAATTTGGTTCCAGACTTGTCCAGAAGTTACCCTTGGCCACCCACTCGTGTTGGGTAACTTACTATAATAGTAAGAGGAATCAAAGGCACTTGGACTAAGTGCTCAGGGCTCCCCCCCCCCCCCCCAGACATTTTTCTCCATGAGATTAGGGGGAAGAAGTCAGACCGCGCTTGAAACTACTCGAGGTTCGAAATTTTCCTAAAGTATATATTTTCCACGTAAATTATGTTGTTTTTTTCTGTTTCGTGCGTGGGGGTGTAGTGTATGAGCTCCAGTGCGAACGGTGTCCCCAGAGAGGTGCCTGAAAGAAACACTGATAGAACTAACTTTATAATCCCTTCATATGGTCAGATAAAAAGATTAACTCTGTTTCATCTGCCCTAAGGCTCGTCAAGTCTAAAAAGCTAATTTATAATTTACGAGGATTATTTTGACATCCGTATTCGCGTTATTGGCTGATGTATATGTTTAGTAACAATGATGTTCTTTGTCAGTCAAGTTAGTTTAGTTTTCTCAACGTATGAAGCAATGCACTTGGGTGAACTTCAAATTTAACTATTAGTAATCCAAATGTGCAAAAACTTTGAAATTAGAACATTATACCCAGGTAAAAAATATATTTTTACATTTTTTGATCGAGTATAATAGAAGAAAAAACAACAAAGTGTAATTACACAGAAAAACGAAAGCTTGTTTATAGTACGTTAAGGCATTTAATAATTTTCTTTGAGTAAATTTACTAAAAATGATCAAAATACGATGTTACGGTGTCATTTAAAAATGTAACATCAAATGACAATGTGAGTACAAAATCATAGCTGAAAGTGTTTTAAAAAATACAAGAGCATGATCCATAAAATAAATACAAGAGTATGATAAATAAAATAAATACAAGAGCATGATCAATAAAATAAATAGAAGAGTATCAATCAATAAAATATAAGAGCATCAATCAATAAAGCATGAAAATATATTCTCAAAAACAAGACAAACTCATCAAACATTTTTTTTTATAAATAACAAACATCTCACAAAATATTTACTGAACAAGGACATCATTACACGTAATTAAGGACCAAATATTGTAATGTACAACACAAGATTATCACTTGAGATATTTGTTTTACGTCAGCAGATCACGTTAACTAAAGTCCACTACAGATGAGGAGAAAATGGGAACCTGACGCATCTCGCTCTTCCAACAGGCTCCGCAGCGATACTACAGGATAGAAGGCGAAGATAGCCAGGTTTTTTAATAAGTTAACGTTCCCATGAACAATAAATGAAAGCAGTTAAATTATTTTCTTATATCGAAACACCGACTTATGTTTATGTTTCACATGAAGAATGTGTATACATAATTAATGAGATTAACAAAAACATTAATGCTGTAAAACTGCATGAAACTGCCGTTAATCTCGGCAAACTGATTCTCTGACAACAGAATAGCGCACTTTGCGCTTGTAATTCCATTTTTTTAAAAATCTTCAGAGTAACTAATGCGACAACATTTGAAAGGCAATGTGAGAGGCTATGACAATGAGTAAACAGATGTGTTTTGTCTCCTTCCTCGAGTTTCCCGTCTTTGACTTATGAAGACGTCTAACAGAGCAAATGAAAGACATCGTTGTAGCTCTCTCTGGACACTTGAACTCATTCAACACAAATCTAACACAACATACAAAAGTTTTACCATCCCATTCAACACAAATCTAACACAACATACAAAAGTTTTACCATCCCATTCAACACAAATCTAACACAACATACAAAAGTTTTACCATCCCATTCAACACAAGTCTAAACAAACATCATTCAAAGGTCTTACCAATGGTCCCATTCAACACAAGTCTAACACAACATCATACACAGGTCTTACCAGTGGTCCCATTCAACACAAGTCTAACACATCTTAGTAAAATCTTACCAGTGGTCCCATTCAACACAAGTCTAACACAACATCATACACAGGTCTTACCAGTGGTCCCAGTCAACACAAGTCTAACACAACATCATACACAGGTCTTACCAGTGGTCCCATTCAACACAAGTCTAACACATCTTAGTAAAATCTTACCAGTGGTCCCATTCAACACAAGTCTAACACTATATCATAAAAAAACCTGAAGATCGACATCACTACCCTATCCTAGGTTCATTCATTCACTAACATGGATTTGTGGATGCTGACTCAAGAGGGGCCTTCACTAAACTACATAGATTTTTGTTTTATAGTGCTGACCATCGCATTTATAAAAATGAGGTCTCTTTCCCGAAAATGCTCTTTGAAGAGGGGATGGGGAGAGGCCAATCCCTCCTCCCCCCACACCCCCGCTCTCTTGGCTACGCGTTTGAGGAGTGAACTTGCTTCGAAACAAAACTTGGTTTCTTACTAAACAATTTACATATTTACCTAGCATTATACACAAAGCATCCATTTTTACATTATCACAAATGTAAATCAAAAAATATTTCAAAATAACCACCAAAAACCCACCTACATATATATCAACTTCCTTTTATCTGTTCCAAAAAAATATGGAAGTATGCTTTAAGTAAACCCACAATGTTGTAGGCATACGTAATTGTGTTATAAATTCAAAGTGTTTACGAAAACATAGCAAAAGTATAAGAACGGTATACAGTTTTACAATTACTGAAACATCCTTTAATAAGCTTGCAACTGAGGTGCCTCATTCATAGGCAATTGGTTTTTAATATTCAGGAGAAAATGTTAATATAATAACACGCTACTATATTAAGTCCCCTTTAGCAAAAATATAATTGAAGATAATGAATAATGGGACAAAACTCACTAGCATATAAACAAAGATAATTTTTAAAAACTGATTTTATTTTTAAAATACATTTTAAGAAAAATTTCATTCTTCACAAAGCAACAATTAAAACATAGTTTTTAGCTGTGTGAGTCTTTGTTACATATTTTCTTGAGATATTTTTTAGTGTGTGTGTGTGTTGATAACCACTTTTACTCTTGAAAAAGCTTTTGATGAGGATCAATAGAGACAAGATGAAACTATCAATGAGCCTTGTGGAAGTATAATAGAGGCCAGCTAATACAGACAAAAATAACAACTCATCGTGGCCTCTTTAAAAGTTAAAAGCCATTGTAGTAATGAAAAGGCTTTATTGTTATACAAATATCTAATGGTAGTAATTCGAGAGTTGAATGCAACGTCGTCCAGGTCGATATCAGAGTTAAACAAAGGCTTGGTCCCTGACAGAAGACCACGAACTGTAGCTAGTGAGCGCCGACTTGCTGATATTGTTCAAACAAGTGCGATGCACATGGTCAATGGCAATGCTTTCATTAGAAATATGTTTTCCGTTTGGCCTTTTCACCAGCGAGTATCTGGCCAACATGGTCGAGTCTTCTGACACTGTTCTTGTCACTCGGCGACTGATGGTACTGCCTACAGTAGAAAAAATACGTTTCAATAATTGGATTCATAATACAATAGTTAAATTCTAAGATTTTGTTAATGTTTTAAAAGTAAATGCTAACTAATCCCTAGATAATTATTTTTATGTCAGCCAAGGAGAAATTATTGTTAAATATTTAACGAAAACAAAACACCACCATAGCTGTTAGCAAGTCTATCTGCCAGTAAGGCTATTGTAAGCCGATAAGCAGCTTTACGCGAGTGTTTATTTTATATTGTGTTAAATTATAGAACAATGTCTTTGTTTATTGTGTGTTTATATTGAATACTTTTCTTTTAAAAACTTTTTTTCCCGTTCCAGGGTTGGTCTAACCCCATAAGTCCACACAACTCAGATTGACACCTGTCTCAAGTCGTGTAAATTAAAGCTGACTGGATACAATGCTGGCCACACAATCTAATCATACCCCAAAGTCAAACAGCGCTTTACTCCATGTGCCTACATACGGTACTGTTTTAAAAGGAAGGATGCTTTTACTTTTCTTTAGCCAATATTTAAAAAACGAAGTAGATAATTCAAAGAGCAAACAAAGTTGTAATAACGAAAATAATAATACAAGGAATTTTAAAAAATAAGGATTATAATAAAAGATAAAACTGTAAGGATTCGAGATTGGAGATATCTAGCTACATATCCTGAGATTAAGCGGAGAAAATAAACAAAAATATGGATTAGCGCGTAACAACAGAAATATGGAAAGATTGGTTTAGATAGCACGGAACAACAGAGATATGGAAAGATTGGTTTAGATAGCACGGAACAATAGAGATATGGAAAGTTTGGTTTAGATAGCACGGAACAACAGAAATAATATGGAAACATTGGTTTAGATAGCACGGAACAACAGAGATATGTAAAGTTTGGTTAAGATAGCACGGAACAACATAAATAATATGGAAAGATTGGTTTAGATAACACGGAACAACAGATATATGGAATGATTAGTTTAGATAGCACGAAACAACAGAGATATGGAAAGATTGGTTTAGATAGCACGGAACAACAGAGATATGGAAAGATTTGGTTTAGATAGCACGGAACAACAGAGATATGGAAAGATTGGTTTAGATAGCACGGAACAACAAATATATGGAAAGATTGGTTTAGATAGCACGGAACAATAGAGATATGGAAAGATTGGTTTAGATAGCACGGAACAACAGAGATATGGAAAGATTGGTTTAGATAGCACGGAACAACAGAAATATGGAAAGATTGGTTTAGATAGCACGGAACAACAGAGATATGGAAAGATTGGTATAGATAGCACGGAACAACAGAGATATGGAAAGATTGGTTTAGATAGCACGGAACAACAGATATATGGAAAGATTGGTTTAGATAGCACGGAACAACAGAGATATGGAAAGATTGGTTTAGATAGCACGGAAAAATAGAATTATAGGAAGATTAGTTTAGATAGCACGGAAAAATAGAATTATAGGAAGATTAGTTTAGATAGCACGGAACAACAGAGATATGGAAAGATTGGTTTAGATAGCACGGAACAACAGAGATATGGAAAGATTAGTTTAGATAGCACGGAACAACAGAGATATGAAAAGATTGGTTTAGATAGCACGGAACAACATAAATAATATGGAAAGATTGGGTTAAATAGCACGGAACAACAGAGATATGAAAAGATTGGTTTAGATAGCACGAAACAACAGAGATATGGAAATATTGCTTTAGATAGCACGGAACAAGAGAGATATGGAAAGATTGGTTTAGATAGCACGAAACAACAGATATATGGAAAGATTGGTTTAGATAGCACGAAACAACAGATATATGGAAAGATTGGTTTAGATAGCACGGAACAACAGAGATATGGAAAGATTGGTTTAGATAGCACGGAACAACAGAGATATGGAAAGATTGGTTTAGATAGCACGGAACAACAGATATATGGAAAGATTGGTTTAGATAGCACGGAACAACAGAGATATGAAAAGATTGGTTTAGATAGCACGGAACAACAGATATATGGAAAGATTGGTTTAGATAGCACGGAACAACAGAGATATGAAAAGATTGGTTTAGATAGCACGGAACAACAGAGATATGGAAAGATTGGTTTAGATAGCACGGAACAACAGAGGTATGGAAATATTGGTTTAGATATCACGGAACAACAGATATATGGAAAGATTGGTTTAGATAGCACGGAACAATAGAGATATGGAAAGATTGGTTTAGATAGCACGGAACAACAGAAATAATATGGAAAGATTGGTTTAGATAGCACGGAACAACAGAGATATGGAAAGATTGGTTTAGATAGCACGGAACTACAGAGATATGGAAAGATTGGTTTAGATAGCACGGAACAACAGAAATAATATGGAAATATTGGTTTAGATAGCACGGAACAACAGAGATATGGAAAGATTGGTTTAGATAGCACGGAACTACAGAGATATGGAAAGATTGGTTTAGATAGCACGGAACAACAGAGATATGGAAAGATTGATTTAGATAGCACGGAACAACAGATATATGGAAATATTGGTTTAGATAGCACGGAACTACAGAGATATGGAAAGATTGGTTTAGATAGCACGGAACAACAGAAATAATATGGAAATATTGGTTTAGATAGCACGGAACAACAGATATATGGAAAGATTGGTTTAGATAGCACGGAACTACAGAGATATGGAAAGATTGGTTTAGATAGCACGGAACAACAGAGATATGGAAAGATTGATTTAGATAGCACGGAACAACAGATATATGGAAATATTGGTTTAGATAGCACGGAACAACAGAGATATGGAAAGATTGGTTTAGATAGCACGGAACTACAGAGATATGGAAAGATTGGTTTAGATAGCACGGAACAACAGAGATATGGAAAGATTGATTTAGATAGCACGGAACTACAGAGATATGGAAAGATTGGTTTAGATAGCACGGAACTACAGAGATATGGAAAGATTGGTTTAGATAGCACGGAACAACAGAAATAATATGGAAATATTGGTTTAGATAGCACGGAACAACAGAGATATGGAAAGATTGGTTTAGATAGCACGGAACTACAGAGATATGGAAAGATTGGTTTAGATAGCACGGAACAACAGAGATATGGAAAGATTGATTTAGATAGCACGGAACAACAGATATATGGAAATATTGGTTTAGATAGCACGGAACTACAGAGATATGGAAAGATTGGTTTAGATAGCACGGAACAACAGAAATAATATGGAAATATTGGTTTAGATAGCACGGAACAACAGATATATGGAAAGATTGGTTTAGATAGCACGGAACTACAGAGATATGGAAAGATTGGTTTAGATAGCACGGAACAACAGAGATATGGAAAGATTGATTTAGATAGCACGGAACAACAGATATATGGAAATATTGGTTTAGATAGCACGGAACTACAGAGATATGGAAAGATTGGTTTAGATAGCACGGAACTACAGAGATATGGAAAAATTTGGTTCAGACTATTTTAAAATAGGATCAGATAGCACTAAAATATGCATTGCATTGAAAAGACTGTCTGATCTGAAATGTCTATGGATGGAATTGACGCAGGTTAAAGGTAAACTTGTATGGTAATTTTATTTTAATATGTCCTATCATTATCACTAAGGTAAACCTGTAAAGTCATTTTATTTGATCTGTCCCATTATTAGCATTACTAAAACACACACAGGTGAACTGTCTCAAGATGAAACGTTATAATGTAAATGGGATCTTTGGCAGACATTTGTTCCTTACTGTAGTTGATGGTATTCTTGTACAGTTTTCGCTGTTATAAAATTATGAAATCCTTATATTTAGCCCTAATATCTTATGTATGCGAACATCCCTAGCACGACACATTTTTAACTTTATATTTCATATACATTAAGAACGCACATTTTACATACTCTATACCTAACCTAATCGCTAGCTCGTTATAATGATTGCGATTGTAATTAAGATGTGCAGTAAATGATAGCCATAAAAATAAATGAAGTTTGAGAATCGAAAGAAGATGTTAGATAAGAAGTAATGTACCCAATTTGTTCTATTACATGCTCGTATAAATAAAGGAAAAAAAAATGGCGACACAAAGTCGATAGAGAAGCATCATTAGTTCCGGCAAGTATCGAACCGGTGTAATGACGTGCTTACACTTACATGCACCGTGTGTTACAATTTTCTGCACCAGTAATTTACAACGTATCTCCTAATAATCGGAACTCTTGCAGACACTTGATTAAAACGGTTTCATCTTGTTTTTTTTTTCTTTTCTTTGTTTTGTAGGCCTACTTGGAAATTTATTTCAATATTTTTGCTTCCCGTTATTAACTTTGAATCATGGATCTTGATATCAGTCACTTTGTGGATAATGTCCCCATGTATACTTTAAGAACCCCTGATCTGAATAAAACCCAATAAAAGTAAGTGGGATTTAAACAAGACAGCTATCCCACGCTAGCCTCATTAAAATATTCAATCAGTATTATAGATAATTAAGAAGCACTTTCCGTTATCATAAATATTGGAAGAAACTTAAACGTACTTTAATGTCAAACATTTCTTAAACTAGTACATAAGTTATGTATAGAAAAATATGAAATAGGAAGTGCAAAATAAACGAAAGGTGGTATTTAAGAGCAGAAACGAAAGGTGGTATTTAAGTGCAAAAAAAAAAAAAAAAGAAACGAAAAGTGGTATTTGAGTGCAAAAGAAACAAAAAGTGGTATTTAAGTGCAAAATACAGAAAGGTGGTATTTCAGTGCAAAATAACGAAAAGTGGTATTTAAGTGCAAAAGAATCGAAAAGTGGTATTTAAGTGCAAAAGAAACGAACCAACCTCTCTGGGGTTTCTTCCTACCCAGCATACAAAACCAGAGGTGTGTGAAGCCACGCCTGAAGTTGCCAGAGAAAAAACTGTACACAAACGCGTTCATCCCTGAGTTACTGAGCTCCAGCCACTGGGCGAGGGGCAACCCCACCTTGGTAATCCTTTCCACCACCCCGTCGTCAGTGGGGGGGTTGAAGTGGAGGATCAGGTACAGAATGTGCAAGGGGAGCCAGGAGAGTGCAAACATGAGAACCACTGTGACCAGCATCTTGACGACGTTCATCTTGCAGCGTTTGATGACGCCGCTGCCAACCGCTACCCCCGGGGCCTGGCGGTTCCAGACCCTCCAAGCGATGAGGATGTAGCAGACGAATATCAGCACCAACGGCAGGAGGTATGTCCCCAGGAAGATGGCGACGACGTAGAAGGCACGCTGGGAATCGAAGTCCGGCCAGATAGAATGACACATGGGAATTGTTTGTAGTTGTGTGACGCTGTCGAACTGCTGGTAGTAGACCAGCCAGGGGATGATGAGGGTGAAGGAAAACAGCCAGATGACCGCCAGGGTCAGGCAAGCGCCACGTCGCATTATTCGCCAGTCGGGGTTAAAACAAATCGCCAGAAACCTGAAAGTGTAACAAGAACAAAAATTTATTGACTAAAAAAAAATTAGCACACACCATATTTTTGGTTTTATGTAAGTCTTGCTGCCTAAAATGTTGCAATAATGTAGAAGGATGGAGTTTCTAAAGCCAGAAATGAAAGATAGAATTTAAATAAACATCATACTCATCATCATCATCGTCATCTCTCTCTCTCTTTCTTTCTCTCTCTCTCTCTCTCTACTGATTTTGTCTAAGTTTGAAGCCTGCAGAGATGGGCTAACAGCCTGCAGAAATTGGCTTACAAAGACTTTACCTGTCTACTGCTATAGCCGCCAGGTTGTACACTGACGCGCACACTGAGACGCCTTGTATGTAGGGAGTCAGTTTACACAGGACAGATCCAAATGGCCAGCCTGAAACATATAACATATGAGGAGTCAGGGCCAGCCTCAAACATATAACAGGGGGAGTCAGGACCAGCCTCAAACATATAACATAATAATTTCTTCAGTTTATATTCTACAGGCATAAAAATAACACAGCCTGCAATATAACACCACCCTGTGATTTATATTATTGTTACAAAAAAAAATTTCAATTTGAAAAACGTGATTTTCAAATTTTAAGCACAATGGGAAAAAAAAATTCTAATCAAATTTTAATCAACATAATAAAATTGGATTGCGTGTTTTAACAAATTAGCAATTATTCCCTGCGAATAATAGCTGGCGTCGATTTTTGTCTTTAAAATGTTGAGACGTCTGTTGTGACGTATTTGAGCTAGCTTCAAGTAGTGTGTCAACATGAGGTGTTCATCTTTCAACCATGACTTCACTTCCTGTTTACATTCTGAGCAGAAAAAATTTGCTCCAAGTGCACCGGGGATAAAGGATAGAGCACTTCCGCTTTTCTCGAGATTAGTTGAACACGAGGCGAGTCATTATCTGGAGAGTACTGCAGATAGCGCAGATATTGATGACAGCATATTTTCATCAGCGATCGCGAAGAGCAGTTCCAACAACTGGTTGCGTGCCATGCAAACAATTTTTAAATCTCCCGCTTTTGAAGATTGCAAGCCGATTAAACTAGTTCAAGTGTAAAATTGGCTTGCGTGGCAGAACATTCTAGATTTTTAAAAAGCTGAACGACACTAACCTTGGTATTTTTACTACGTGTTAATGATGAAACTAAAAAATGGACAACGCGTCGAAGTTCTGAGAATTCGTTTGTGGACATTTTTTTCTTTAATTAACGGCTTCATGGTATTCCAGGCGAAACAAAGGAAAACTGTGTAACTCTGGGGGAAGGGGGGGGGTGGAGTTTTGTGATGAGCAGCCTGATAGAGCTACTCAACGAAACATCTCATGTTTTTGTGATGCTGTGTAAAAGTACCCCAAGTTGTTTTTCTAGTTTTTTTTTCAAAGCATTTTATTGAATGTTTTGATATAAAAGAGCTAGAACACCGTTTTGTTGTAGTTTAAGAATAGTATTAAAATCTTAAAATAATTTTTTTATGTTTAAAAAATAAATATAACTTTTTTTTTATGTTTAAAAAATAAATATAACTAAACAAATATTTGCATTTGTTAAAATATTAATTAACCATTACAAAAATCGCAATTATTTATGAGCAGTTCACTGAGGACTGAATATTTTAACAAAATGTGATGTGTATAAGCATTTGGAATGTTTGACAAAGTTTTAAATATATGACAAGTGTATTTTGTTTCGTAAACGTGTTCCCTTTTTTCACTTAGGTCTTATATTTAAAGAGCTGCTATGTATTATTTGTCTACATTAATGTTGTTTTTACTGCATACCTTCATTTTAAAAATAAATGGAGAAAAAAAAACGCCAATGCAACTAATTTTGTTAATTAAAATAAGGAATATTTCGCCACTCTAAAGACTCTAAGGTAAAATGTTTCTAACTGTTTGTGTCTGTGTCTAATAGTAATTGTGTATGTGTGTCGGGCATAGCCGTATGTCTCAACACTGCCAAGTGTGTGTGTGTGTGTGTGTGTGTGTGTGTCTAGTACACATGCTTATCCCTCCCAGTTTGTATAGGACACTATCTCTTGTTTCACTGAGCTTCGCTCCTGTATTTTCGGAAATTAAATTTGATCAAATGATAAGGTTAGGAAGTTTTCGAGAATCATTATGCATACAGGCAAAGAGGTCAAAAATTATAATACTAAAAATAAATTCCATTCAAATCAAATCTACTAAAAATGTTGCACACAAAGAATTTAATTAAAATCCTTTTATACAAGATCGAATTCTATTTTCACCTTTTCTAATATAGACAAATATTTGATTAACCTTTAAATTATAAATATTTTAAAAATTAATTAAAACTGAAGAATTAAAAAAAACTGAAGCAAACACGACAAACTAATTGCCTGTTTAGAATTTAAAGTTCCGCTAAATAATTAAACTGTCAAAAACAGTACCGACGGACGTGCTAATTAAACTTAATTAAGTTTGTGGATTTATGAGCCACAAGAGCATGTTCAGCTAACTTTTCTTTCCAGCATTTCCATTTTATCCAGGTCTTTTCCCCCCATACTTAACAATGCAAAAGGTAACACTTTGCGGTCAGCTCTTCAAACTGAAAGGTGAAAATTTGAACAGATTACAGGCTTAAAAGGTTAGGATTATGTCCTTTTTAATATTCTGACAGATGCTGACCATTTTTACGAAATTATTTAAAGTGCATAGGCGGCTTGATTTCTGAAAATGGTATGAAGATTCCATAACTAATAGTATAGAGAAAGCAACTTTAATTCAAAGAGAGTTTTTCTACTTAAATTTGTAACTTTTTAACTAGATCTCGGGCCATAACTTAAACAACGTTATCTTCCCCGCGCGTGACTGTATGCTTATGTCATAGGCATATTTTTCTAGGGGAGGGGGGAGGGACTAGAAACATTCGAGAGGGGGGGCGGATATAAATTTAAGGGAAAGGGGGAAGCTGGTTAAAGTATATATTTTGTATACTAATTCTATTCCGATGTGGGGGGCGGGGGGCCGGGGGCGGTGTAGATGTGTTTTGTGGTGCCCCCTCCCCTCCCCACACCAAAGAGATGCCCAAAAGAAACTCTGGTCATGGGTTGTTAGTGTTGTCATTACTCACCAAAAGAAAAAGCTGAATAAAACAAAGTGACCCCCACCACATGTCAAAATGACATCTTCAAAATGACATCTACAAAATGACATCTATTCCCAATAACCAGTCCTGCAGCAAGGAATAAAATGTAACAGCCTTTGTTTGAATGATTGTTCCTAAAAACCGCAGAGAAACATTAGAAACACGAGAAAGCTTTAAAATATTTTTTTTGCTTAATTAATTGCTTTCAGGAAACTGTATCAGGTTGTCCTGAATTTCCTATGAATCGAATGGTGGAATATTTCTTAGGTCATCTTTCTTCTGGAATTAAATAGGCGCTGACGTCAATCTCAAATAGCATATCTTTGCTAATAGTTTGTCTTAACTTTAAACCATACTAGCTTATTTGACTTATTTGGCTAAAATATATTTAATAGAACTACAATTTTTTGGAAATTGTTATTTGAAATGTATTAGAATCTCGGGTTCTTATTAATTTTTACTTTCTCGTATATACGTAGTATAGAGAAAGTATTGTAATCGTGCAAAAAAAAAAAATCGAGATTTTTACAAATCTCGACGTTTTACACCTCACTGATACGGAAAAACATAATTTTGCAATCTTGTCCGTATGTCTGTGTGTGTGTGTGTCTGTCCGTGTGTGTGTCTGTCCGTGTGTAAACACGATAACTTGAGTACCGTTACAGCTAGGTTGATGAAATTTCATATATAAGTATTTTATCAAAATCGTAGATCCGTATCAACTTTTGAGCGATTTCCGATAACCGGAAGTGGTACTTTTCCTACTTTGAATTTTTCAAAAGCCTATAACTTGAGTACTATTTCAGATAGATAAATGAAATTTCACATGTAAGTAAAAGATCTAATTCTCTACCTTCTGTTTAATTTTGAGTAATTTCCGTTGACTGGAAGTAGTAATTTACGCTACTTCCGATTTCTCAAAAAACTAATGTAAATTTTTAAAGTACTAATAATATTGCGCACTATTATACGCGTTTTTATTCGGCGTTTGCTTGGTGCGCAATGTTTTTTTTTATGAGATTCTATTCTATTTTTAAAAGTTTTAGTATTTAAAATGGATTAAAAATCATAACTATATCCCCAGTTACCATCCCCTGTTGTTTTATATAAGAATATTCGAGAAAGTTTAGGGGAGATCACTACCGGTTTATTGTCTTTGTGATGTAGTGTAATTATCTCTAGAACTAGCCTAACTATAACCCCTGTTTGACTCTAGCCTAACTATAACCCCTGTTTGACTCTAGCCTAACTATAACCCCTGTTGACTGTTGGAAAATCAATTGACTTTTTATAGTTTTTTTTTTTCATCTTACTCACGAGCTTCTAGAATTAATTTATATTTGTTAAAAAACAAAGTCATAACGTGCAACGAAGAAATGATTATTAACAATTGGTTGAGAAAATAAGTTACAAATTTTAATGGTAAAAAATATGTTGTTGCAATATCATTTCATCATTCCTGACATTTAAAGTCTTTGATGAAATGGAAAAGTTAGCTGAGTTTATATTCATGGAAAACCCAAGGTTTTTGTTTACAAACCATTTGCTAGACAAACCTTGGTTGATATATAGTTCCTTTTTAAGAAATATTTTTTACAGGTGTAATGGGAACTGATACCTCGTTAGAACAAAATCTCTTTCATAATGAGTGAAAGGAAATAACTAAAGAGAAATTTAAAATGGAAAACAAAATCTGTTTCGGTAAATTGAAAGAACAATAAACAAAACACTTAGCTAATGGCATGGCTAAGGTAAGGTGGAATCTGTGGTGAGTATCTGGTAGTCTTAAGGACAGTAGCACCCTGATGTGGGATAGATACATGTATATAAATAGGGTAAGATAGAATGTGTGGCTAGTCTCTGGTAGCCAAAGGGTTAAAAGCATCCAGATTTGGGATAGATACATGTGTAAAAATAGGGTAAGATAGAATGTGTGGCCAGGCTCTGGTAGCCATAAGGTTAAAAGCATCCAGATTTTGGATGAGTACGTATATAAAAATATGTATTTTAAGAATTCTGAAGTCAGGAAGTCGACCTCTGGCTTCAGTACACGTAATTGTTCACGAGTAAAACTAAAATGTACACAGCACAACAGAACATAGACCAAATGACTGACACCCTTACCATGTCTAGAGACAAATGACTGACACCCTTTAACATGTCTAGACCAAATGACTGACATACGTGCAGGGTTTCTTTCGGACATTTGTCTCCGGATGGGGAGGCATTTAAAATGTCTAACCTGAATAGATACTTTGCCCATAAAGTTATTGGTTTATAGAACTATAACACTCTTATTAATAACCAATCCGTATGCCAGTAATGTGATAGGTATACAGAACTAAAGCAGTCTATAACAATGACCTACCTGTGTATATATTAGCCAGGAAAGAGATGGGTATACAGAACTAAGTCTATATCAATGACCTACATGTGTATATATTAGCCAGGAAAGTGATGGGTATACAGAACTAAGCCTATAACAATGACATACATGTGTATATATTAGCCAGGAAAGTGATGGGTATACAGAACTAAGTCTATAACAATGACCAACCTGTGTGTATATTAGCCAGGAAAGTGATGGGTATACAGAACTAAGTCTACATCAATGACCAACCTGTGTAGATATTAGCCAGGAAAGTGATGGGTATACAGAACTAAGTCTATATCAATGACCAACCTGTGTATATATTAGCCAGGAAAGTGATGGGTATACAGAACTAAGTCTATATCAATGACTAACCTGTATAGATATTAGCCAGGAAAGTGATGGGTATACAGAACTAAGTCTATATCAATGACCAACCTATGTAGATATTAGCCAGGAAAGTGATGGGCATACAGAACTAAGTCTATATCAATGACCAACCTGTGTAGATGTTTGCCAGGAAAGTGATGGGTATACAGAACACGGCCACCAAGATGTCCGCCACGGCCAGATTGGCTATGAAGACGTTGGTGACGGTGTGCATGCGCGGGGTCACGGCCACGATGACCACGACCATGACATTGCCCACGACGGCACACAGGAAGATGAAGGTGTAGGCGATGCCGTAGACCACGATCATGTGGGTCGGGATCTTGAAGGTGGTGTAGAAGTGTCCAGTCATGTTGTCGGACGTGGTGTTCATGACGTCAAGTTCACGTGTAGCATCAATGTGACGTCATGAACTCTGGGGACATAAAACATTGGCGATGGTCATTCAAGAACTAATATGTAATTATATATATAAATAGATTAGACTTATTTAAGTTTGTGGATTTATATATATATATATATATATATATATATATATATATATATATATACTATATATATATATATATATATATCGATGGTCTCGGTCGCAAACCGTCTAACTCAAAAAAATTCGATTTTCTTTTTTTTACATAAATCAAAAGCCAATATGATTCCCCATAAGGCCTGAAAATATTAGAGAAATCTGTAGAATGATTATTGATATATAATCATTTGAACAAACCGCCTATTATTTCTAGCGCTAAAAATCTCGGCGCAAAACGAATATCGCTATATTTGTCAGTACACTTTTGATCGGGAACGCAGTCGCACGCCGCAATCACACAATTTTACAGCACAGCAGTCACAGTACTTATAGGTAAGGATATTTGATTAACTATGTTCAACTATTCTATAACATTTTATCATTTTAAAGAATAATAAACAAATAATATTTGTTTAATATAGCCTATTTCCAGATTATCAATAACCAAACTGATTTGTTTACAATTTTTTAGGCTAACACAATGCTTTGAAACTAGATCTTCATTCTAGAATCTAAATATCAATCAAAACATAATTCGAATTATATTTCCACAAGAATGTGCAATAAATTTAATAATTGTTAATTCACTACTAGCTTTAGATTGAGGGTTTAGATACGTGTTAAGAAATGTTTATATGGTAAGTTACAAAATGTTTGGCGTACATGTTCAACGACATGGTTAGTTGTCTTTAGTAAATGCTTTTATGATTAATTTTTCAACAGACAAGCCTATCTCAACACACCAGACTCTCCCAACAGACCAGCCTCTCTTAACAGACCAGCCTCTCTCAACATACCAGATTCTCTCAACATACCAGTCTCTCCCAATACACCAGTCTTACCACATATCAGACCAGCCTCTCTCAACATACCAGCCTCTCTCAACAGACCAGCCTCTCCCAACAGACCAGCCTCTCTCAACAGAACAGCCTCTCTCAACAGACCAGCCTCTTCCAACAGATCAGCCTCTCTTATCAGATCAGCCTCTCTCGACAGATCAGCCTCTCTCAACATATCAGCCTATCACAACCGATCAGCCTCTCTTAAAAGACCAACCTCTCAACAGACCAGCCTCTCTCAACAGATCAGATTCTCTCAACAGACCATTCTTACCACATAACAGACCAGCCTCTCTCAACAGATCAGCCTCTCTTAACACACCAGTCTTACCACATAACAGACCAGCCTCTCTCAACAGACCAGCCTTTCAACATATCAGCCTCTCAACATATCAGCCTCTCTCAACAGACCAGCCTCTCTCAACAGACCAGCCTCTCTGAACAGATCAGCCTCTCTCGACAGACCAGCCTCTCTCAACATACCAGCCTCTCTTAACAGATCAGCCTCTCTTAACAGACCAGCCTCTCTCAACAGACCAGCCTCTCTGAACAGATCAGCCTCTCTCGACAGACCAGCCTCTCTCAACATACCAGCCTCTCTTAACAGATCAGCCTCTCTTAACAGACCAGCCTTTCTCAACAGATCAGCCTCTCTCAACAGACCAGCCTCTCTCAAAAGACTAGCCTCTCTCAACATATCAGTCTCTCTCTCAACAGACCAGCCTCTCTCAACAGACCAGCCTCTCTCAACAGACCAGCCTCTCTCAACATATCAGCCTCTCACAACCGATCAGCCTCTCTCAAAAGACCAACCTCTCAACAGACCAGCCTCTCTCAACAGACCAGCCTCTCTCAACATATCAGCCTCTCACAACCGATCAGCCTCTCTCAAAAGACCAACCTCTCAACATACCAGCCTCTCTCAACACACCAGTCTTACCACATAACAGACCAGCCTCTCTCAACAGACCAGCCTTTCAACATATCAGCCTCTCAACATATCAGCCTCTCTCAACAGACCAGCCTCTCTCAACAGACCAGCCTCTCTTAACAGATCAGCCTCTCTCGACAGACCAGCCTCTCTCAACATACCAGCCTCTCTCAACAGACCAGCCTCTCTGAACAGATCAGCCTCTCTCGACAGACCAGCCTCTCTCAACATACCAGCCTCTCTTAACAGACCAGCCTTTCTCAACAGATCAGCCTCTCTCAACTGACCAGCCTCTCTCAAAAAACTAGCATCTCTCAACATATCAGTCTCTCTCTCAACATACCAGCCTCTCTCAACAGACCAGCCTCTCTCAACAGACCAGCCTCTCTCAACATACCAGCCTCTCTTAACAGATCAGCTTCTCTTAACATACCAGCCTCTCTCAACATATCAGCCTCTTTCAACAGACCAGCCTCTCAACATATCAGTCTCTCTCAACAGACCAGTCTTACCATACAAGACACCAGCATCTGTCAACTGACAAATCGTAAAGGCACCAGCATCTCTCAACAGACCAGTCGTAACATTAAGGCACCAGTAACTCACAAGAGACCAGTCTCTCCCAGCAGACCAGTCGTAATATACAAAAGACCAATCTCTCTCAACTGACCAATCTTACCCTCCAAGATACCAGCCTCTCTCAACAGACCATTCTTACCATAAAAGAGACCAGCCTCTCTCAAAAGATTAGTCTTATCCTACAATAGACAAGCCTCTCTCAACACACCAGTGTTACCATACAAGACACCAGCCTTTCTCAACAGATCAGTCGTAACATACAATAAACCAGCCTCACATAACAGACATTAGACACCAACCTCTCTCAAAAAGACCAGCCTTACCATACAAGAGACCAGTCGATCTCAAAAGACAAGTCAGACCTATCAAGAATTCAAAGCGACAGATATTCGTGCACTGCAGTACAAGCCTGATGCTACTGTCTACTTCAAAGTGAATTAGCAGATAGCTGGAATTTGCTAAGCTAGGGTCGTAAGATTATGATCTCATCTGTAGCCCCTGTCAAGTTGTACAAGAGCAGAAAAAAAAATAAAAGCTGTCATATTTGAGCACCTAAAAGCAAGTCATAAACACACCTTTTTATGATGATTTCCCTGATTTTAAAAATATGTTGCCATTTTAATTTGTCTTTGTGACGTTTATTCAAAGAATACATTTTAAAAATAAACACATTTTTATGTGTTAAATTTTTGTAAAATAAGTAAACATTAAGTCATTATTAATGTGATTAATGTGTTATGTCTCATTCATAATATATCTGACAATAAGGTTTCTGTTTTTACTATTATCATTCTATAAACCCAGCACCCACCAGATTTAGTAAAATAAACTGTCAGAATAGAAAGATGTAGTAAATAAAGCATAACCTTCAACGGTTAACAAGTCTAGTGCTAAATACAGCCATAATGAATAAACAGTCGAAAGCGATAAAGCAATACTACAACATCTCTATTATAAAATTAAACTGACCCCATAATGTAGAATAAACTCAAATAATTAAAATATGAACCCAAAACTATAATCTAAATATTATGAAGTGTTAATTATAACTTAAAAACATAAACATAAATAAATCACGTTCATTGGACAAAACGAACGAACGCGGCTGAGACCGAAATTCTCGGCTCAAAACAGCTAAGTCTGCGCGCGCACAGATAGACGGTTTGCACCGAGAATTTTAGACCGAGCAAACCGTCTATCTTTTTAAACCTGCTATAATTTTGTAAATATCAACAAAACCCATTTTAAAACGCTACAGTATAGTCGGTAGAGAGTTTCTTCGGAGATATCTTTAAAAAAAATTAGTGTTAGAGCGATCGAGAAGGAAATAATCAGTTTTTTGTCTCTCCTGTAAAATTTACATTTTCGGAGTTAGACGGTTTGCGACCGAGACCATCGATATATATATATATATATATATATATATATATATATATATATATATATAGTATTTATATACTTACAATATGTGTGTATGTAGGCTATGTGAATGTATGTGTTTTTGTGGACGCGAGTTTGTGTGTAAAATATAACTTTATAAAAACATCAAATTTCGCAATATGCGATTAATTTATCTAAGTGTAATCCTATCGCTTTAATATCTGTAGACAAATTTGCGGAGATGAATATATGCTTCTAGTGCACAAAAAAATTCGAGCGAGAAGTGATATTGTTTCGTTAGATAAAATGAGTAAAAACAAATATTTTCTAGTTTTTATTAGGTCTGTAATTTTTGTGAATTTTTAGCAATATAACATAAAATATTAGTTGTGCGTTTCAAAAGATAAAATTAAATAATACAATTGACACGCATTGATAAAAGAACGCAGCTCTTTAAAAAAGTAAATTCAGCGAGACAGAAAGCACTCATGTCCCGTCCGTACCACACCACACTCGTGCGACTTGCGACATATGTCGTCGGTCAAGTCAAACCTAGCCAGGGGCTAATCAAATTGAAAGACTCCGCTCTTTACACGTCTACAGTTAGGGCGTCTCGACCGCTTCATCTACACTTTTCGGAGATCTTTAATTCGATATTGTCGCTGCCTGCGGTGGCGTTGTAGGAATCTCCTGTGCCGGAAATGGATCTAAGATGTGAGACAAGGCTAAACTTGGTGACAATCTCAAAGCTTTTCTTATTACATGGTATTTTCACTGACCGTTATATAAGCACGAAAAAAAGAAGATATTTTTTGAAGTCTTTGACACATGACTCCCTTATGGGGAATATATATAATTTATATATTAATGCATATTCTACATATAAGAGCAGCATATGCAGCATGATAATTGCATCAATACAGAAGAACTTTATTTACGCCCTATGATGATTGTTTGCGGTTAGGTAGGCCTAATCCCCGAGCTTTTTTACGTATCAAGGCTTTCCCGTTCAAACTCCGCATTCACAAGCAACAACAACAACAACAACAATAATATATAAATGTAAATAAATAAATGAGTAAAAATTTATATATATA